CAGTCGCCCCACCAAGGTCAACCTCCTCTTGGCTCTGGCCAAGCTTGTCATCTGGCTATCCAGGAAGGAAGCTCTGGCTGGGAAGGCTCCCGGTGTCCTCAGTGTCCTTTGCGCACGTCTCCGGGCAGAGTACCACTGGGCAGTAGCCGCCGCGAGCTGTCCAAGTTCGCGAACCGGTGGGCGCTGTCTGGGGTGCTCTGCTCGGTGTCCCCCCGGGGAGCACTTGTTTTCGCCCTATGACCCTGTTCGTGCACGCCCTGTTTTCTCTTTAGTTGTCTTCCTTAATTTATTGGTGTTTTTAAGGCGCTGGTCGCCCGACCCAGTGGTGGCCCCACCCTGCAGTTTTAGGCTTTTAACCTTTTATGTTTTTAGCCTTTTAACCATTAAGAACAGCGAGAGCTAGACACCACGATCCTTGAGGACATCAAGTAGTCCCCCTCCTTCAAATTCCTGGATCCACCCATGCTTAGGGGGTTGCAAAACTAGTGGTAGCAGCTGTTGCTGCCCAGGGCACAGAAGCAGCTTGTTATGTCTCTGGGTTAACCAATAACAGTCAGCGTCACCTAGGTCAGTTGGGATAGATACGGCCGAGATCTCCTGTTTAAGCACGCCTGTGTCTGCTAACCATCATGTTGAACTCCCACAGTTCTGAGTATGGGTGCTGGCTTGCTCCTGATCTCTGTTTTCAGACCCTTGGCTTGTTCCAGATTGAGCTACTGCCTCTGATCCACTGCCCTTAACCATGTCCTAACCACTAGGTTGGGCTGTGTATTCCCTGGTCGAATAACAGCTTAGGAACATGGCGGCAATTCCCACATAATTCCAGGAATGTAGTAGATCTTATTCTATTTAAGCCAGTGGTTCTCAACCTTTTTAGACTTAAGGCACCCCTGATAGACTCAAGGCACTCCTTGGAAAATGCTAGCTCTTAGTTTTCACTCTTTTCTTAAAATTTGTCTATAGAAAAATAATAGAACAGGGGTTTTTTTTGTTGCAAAGAACTCAAGAAGACCACATCTATTTCTATTTGAAATCTAAGTGGATTTATCTTGTGAACCATGTTTATAAATGGAACAGTGCTAGCATTGTGTGACACCCTTGAAAGGATTTCAAGGCACCCCAGGCTGCTATGGCACCCTGGTTGAGAATCACTCATTTCAAATGTATACAGCAGTGCAGAGCCCTGGCATCAATGTGCTAGCTATCATGTAAATGGCTGACATATCTACTATTGCATTGAGCACCCTTGGTTTTTGCCACAGCTTCATTTTACACACAACAAAAGGTCAAATCCATATGTGGTTTACTCCTGCTCCATAGTTACTGATCTGTAATCTGGAAAATGTGACACATCTGCCAACCGTTGCCTCTTTTTTTTCTTTTTTTTTTTAAAGAGAAAAGTGTCACATTTAGGTGCATACATGCCCTCTAAGCCTAGATCCTCAGATCCAGTGCTTTGTCCTACTGTTAGTGGCCTGTGCATTTTAACATTGCTAACTCCTATTCTACACAACTAAATGTTGTGGCCTGAAGAAAGTGGTTTCATTTTTGCCTTGCCTCCCTTCCTCCATGTCACTTCTTGACTCGGTGGTGTCTGTAAGTGTTCTGTGTCTCTAACAGATAGATAATACTTTCGCAGCAGCCCACTAAAACTCAAGGTTTTGATCCTACAGCACTGAACTCCATGGCACTTTGGCTACTGTCTTCAATAAGAGCTGAATCAAATCCATCAAACAAATCAATTATTTAAAATGAATAATGGGACTTGGCAAAATGAACATGACTGGACACTTCTGATTCTCATATTAAATTCATGTTTTTCTCTTGTCTAAAATATTACTACAGACTTGAAAGGAGTCCAGATCTTAACATCCCCCAAATTTTAGAATAATTTTGTTTTGACTTTGATATAAATGTCAGCTCAAACCCACCCATAAGTATTAACCCAAAAGGTTCCATGCTTTAGAATTAGTAAAAAAAGGTTCAAAATAGAATAAAACCTAAGATGATCTGAGGTGCAACTGACTTCAGGTTTATTACAAGGTTGAAGAAGTTCATTTGAAGACTTTGCTAAAAAGTTGTAAACCAGTCGGGGGAAGTTGATGCCATGTGGTAGTAAGTTTGACAGAAAAGTCAGTTTCTTCTGGAGCTAAACCACGAATCTCACTCGAATAAAGAAAACAGCTAAATCTAACGTTTGTCTGTTTCTTTATTTCAAAGTGTCATTTCTACCCAGAAACTCCTCTAACTTAAGCACCCTGAGTGACTTCCTGCTCTGCACTAAGAGATACCACAGGCTTCCTTGTAACTGGGTCAATGCCTTCTGTTGAAACTACACAAAATTACTGATGCTGGAAGCTGATCTGCTGCCTGGGCATCCCACCCCATCCACCCCACACCCACCACCAGGGGTGCCAGATGGAGTGGGTGGGTGGGCAGGGTCTCCATGAAGTACCACCCCCCCACACACACCCCCTCACAGGCAGATGGGAGCCACTGGTGGGTGGAGAACAGTGTCTGGGAGAGGGATGGGTGGGCAGGGCCAGGCCTGGGGCTGGGGCCTGGATTGTGGAGCAGTGACAGTACAGGGTACGGCCCTGGGGCCTGGGGCTGAGCTGCAATCAGCACCCCGCATGTCTCACTGGGGCCTGGGGCCAGACAGGATCAAACTGGTAGCTCCCTATCCCCTCCTCCACTACCATGTGGAGCGTTGTAAACAGCTGTGACAGGAGGCCAAGGCCGGGTCAGCACCCCTGCTCCCTTGGCCCTCAATAGCTGACCAAAACTCGTTAAGTGGCCCTCCAACCCCAATAATTGCCCGCCCCGATCTAACCCACTTACCTTCAAGGCTGTTCTCCATTTAGTGGTGGTCATATGACCTAGAAAGTCACAGAGGGACAAATGGGTTCTTAAATGTGACCTTTGTCCATACCAATTTTCTTCTCCAAGCTTAAGTTTCCCAGTCTGTGAAATGGGCAACCTACTTACAAGGACCGTGAAGAGGCCTCTCTAAATCATAATTGTGAAGATGAGGAAAGAGAACTCAGGAATCCAGGAGTTTATCAGAAATTTCTTCAATATTCACAAATTCAAATTTGAATACTAAATTGACTTTTTATTTTGTTTTAAATATGGAGTGCTGAAAATATTTCACAAACACAGTTATCAAAAATTTTTTTTTACAGTTTCACAGAGGTTTCATAAACAGCATTTTTATAATGCTGTGGTAATCATAATTTTTGTAATAAAAATGTATTTTCACTTTTCATTGTGGAAAAAATATTAGTAGTGGATAGATGCAAGTTCCTTTATGCTTAAATGTGACAAGGGACTGCTGGGGAAAAATAGTATGTAATCATTTAATTAAAGGCTTTACTAAAATATATTTTTAAGAGGGGGTTGACTTAAGGCGGCACAGACATACCCTAACTTTTGAACGCTTTTGACTTTGCATCCCTAGTAACTGTTAGCAGGGATTTTTGAATGTGACAGTGTGCAACCAGCTAGCTCGGCTATGGTTATTGCTGCCCTCTTCTGGCTGGAATCAGAACTGTTCGGATGTTCAGGTCTTACTGCCTGGGGCAGAAATTACACATAAAGTGGTATATGTGTAATTTCCAATGTGTGATTGGAAACCAGTTCAAATCTGTAACACAACAGAAGTTCAGTTCACATAAACTGCTTTCAAAAGGGATAAAACTGGTTTAAGATAAAACTTAATGAATGGATGCAGTATCAGACTTAATTGATTTAGGTTAAATCAGTTTATTGAATTGCTGTCCCAGATTTCCTCCAGATTGAAGTTAGCTCTCAGTCCCCCAGCATCCCAGGATGCTTTGCACCTCCCCCACAATGTCCCCTCCCTTTGCAGGGTAGGCAGGCTAGCCTTGGGCCAAGCTGTCTGCTCCAGCCAAGCAGGGTGGTGTGCTCTAGGACACTCCCCCTCCCCCCAGCTTCTAGCCTGGGTCACTGCAGGCACGTGGCTGCATTTTCAGAATCAAACGCGAATATCTGTTCATTTGCTTATTGGGTCAATCTACACATTTTAGATTAAACTTGATGATTGAATTGATTCAGCCTCAGGCTTTTTGACTGTACTTACCTATGTTCACAAATAACAGCTGTTCTATTTGAATTCTAGAGCAACGTTTCTTATGCCAGAAGGATGTCACAAAAACCAGCACTGTGACATCTATTAAGTCCTAGGTGGCTGTGGACTAGGTGCTACAGTACCTAACAACACCGTGACAAGGCAAGTGTGAGTTCATTTGTTTGCCTTTCATTGTATTTCACCATTTCAGAGTACTTTTAAAAACATTACGTTATCATTTTTATTTACTGATTGACCTTCTGCACTAACCCAGTGCAAAGATTTGTTGGATATAGAGATTGCAAGAGGGGCTATTCAGGGGCTGCTCTCCGAGCTGCAATCAGGAGCTGCCTTTATTCCTCTCTTCCAGTTGCACTGTGGAGAATACGTAACGTGTGTCTGCTTGTCTGTTATGCTGAAGGCTGAGCGCCACTTAATGTGAAGGAGCTTTCCTAAATGCATTTTCTTCTGAGCTGGTTTTCAATCTTTTTTCATGGCTTTAAGGATAGTTCTGGCAGGGGCAGCTATGAGCACACTGGCCAGCCAAGTGTGGTCAGCTGGTCCAGTCTTTCTACTCCCCCAAATGTAACCACACCGAGAGACCTGAAAGCTTTTGTTGGGGAAATAGGCCCTCAGAAAACAGTGTAGCTGGAGAGATATTTAAACTTAGCTCAAGACGGTCCTCATTTTTAAATATATTCCTTTATCTTAGTTCAAGCCCCACCTCCAGATCAGCCTGTAACCTTCCTTCTCCTATGCCCTGTCACTTTGTCACTGAGTGGCAACAGAAATGAAAGGACACATTTTAATTCCTCTTATTCACATGACATCTTGAAGGGCCAGTGAGTCCCTCCAGATTTTTACCAGCATACACGAGAGCAGAATCAGGTCCTAGAAGCAGCACAAACCGTTCTCCTGGCTGGGTGTAGTTTTGTACATACCCTGGGAGGACCCCCTGGTTCAACAAATTGTGCTTGGGAACAGGAAGCCAGGACAGGAACCAACACACAGGACAAAAAACAAAGCTAGTAGGCAGGGGAAGCTATTGCTGAGCAACCCTGTAACAAAAGGCAGAAAAACTACTGGGTCCTGCCACAGGGGAAAGAAGTAGAGAAGCCAGGAGACTGAGTCCCATCCACCCCCACCACAAACTGTCCAAACCTAGGAAAGGCCGAGCTGCTTTGCAGAGGGATTAGGAGGCTGTGTCAGGCCTCTTGGTAAGTGCCACTGCAGGAGAGGACCTTGAGAGGAGGTGGAAGGGGGTGCCATGATCGGGAAAGCAAGACTTGGTGAACAACCAGCAGCGCTGGTGTTAGTAGGAAGGGCTTTTGTCAGATGGACTCAAGTTACGAAGGAAGGGATAATGATGCTGCTGGGGAAACCGTGAGTAAAAGCTGAGAATTGGGGAAACAAGGAGGAGGAAGAAGCAGTGGTGGGTTATCTCAAGAGAGGAAGAAACTGAGGAAGTAAGGGAGGGGAAGAACTCAGCTTCCCAGCTGTAAACTAACTGCTACCCTGTGGTGCAAAACCTGCATCTGTGGGGCAATGTGTACAGAGTTTTTGGGATGCAAGCTGCCAGGTGCGATCCATGCAACTGCTCCCTACCTGCTGGAGAGGACTGCAAGCATGCAGGGTTACTGTCATGCTAAGCCTACCTGGCAGAAAGGACCTGTGGCTGACTGAGTGCTGCCAGCGGGCATGGCTGGGCAGATGCTGAGTGCAAGCACAAACCGTACTCAGCAGCAGTGTAGTAAAATGGTGCTGGAGGGGGTTTGTCTTTGTTTCCACTCACAGCATGAATCATGTTCAGCACCAGCTCAGCAATAGTCTTTGCCAACCAACACCCACTCTCAGCCGGGGGGTGCTTTTTGTGAACACCTGGGCTCAGTGTACTGGTCTAAATCATCTCTAAGGTTGTATATGTAATTTCCTTATGTCTCCTGGCTGTGATGCTGTTAAAAGCATATCCAGTCAGTTTTTTACTACAGTCAGTTAGCAGTTTCAGGTACTGCACTTGCCCCCAGTTTTACCCACCAGTCACTGCAGTCACACAATCACACTCTCCGATATAAAATAGGTTTAACCCTCTCCCACATGAGCAAGATTATACAGATGAGTCAATTATATGGGTTAAAAAGCGTGCAAAATAAATGGAAAAGACTGAACAGTCATTGTATTTTCTTTAACCTCTTTTAGGTCTTATCATCTCAGGTAGGACTTCAATAACAGTGAATAAAAATGTTCTCAGACAGATGCATTATTAAACTGTGCTGTCCCTTTAAGTATATATGTGTCACACCACCTTCCTTGCACTACGCTGTCTATCTGTTATTTTAGTATAGCAGTAAAGTCTCTTATCCCATTGTGTGGAAGAGGTGTAGATGTATGTTTACTAGAGACTGCTTTTTCTAAGTTGCAGTGAGTTGGAAACACAAAGGTTTCCATGGGGCTTGGATGTGTACGGTACATGTTTTCTCTGTCTAAAGGGCAGGAACTATTTGAATGACACAAGATGTAACTTCAGCAATTGCTGCTGGTCAGGGACAAAAACTATTTCCTGGTGTCTGTCACAAGCCCTAGTTGAGGAAAGCACCCAAGAACCGGCTGCCAGGGAATGAATGGGATACAGCTTGTGAGGCCTGGGCTTATGCTTTGATTAAAGGAGAGATTCGTTTCTCAGATTGCAAGAAGGAAAAAAGCTCCTGCTCTCATTGTCTTAAAACTTATATGATGGTGAATATGTTCTCAACCAACTGATGTACAGCAGATTTCTTTTGTACTAGGAGGGAGACGACAAGGATTCTCTGCGCCATTTGCTGCTACAAGCTGGACTGCTATGTGTTTGAATGCAGCAGAGACACAAGGCCTGATTTCCAGAGATCTTGACCATCTACAGGTCCTAAGGGATGTCTTGATTCAGTCCCTGCTTGGACTGCACCTTGTGTTGAAGCACCTGATCTGGCTTTGAACTAGCTTCCTCAGATACAGGGAGCAGGGAACTGTGTACGCAGCATAGCTGCAAAACACCCAAGAAACTGGGTAAGTTTTTGGGAGATTAGTCTGTGTTGAGCAATGTGTTACCGTGACTACACTGCAAGCAGACACCAAGCTAGACAGCTTGGGGGGCTGCACACAGGTTGCAGTCACTACAACGGTTGCAGTCACTACAACAGCTGCAGTGTAAATACACCTAATGTGTAGCCAACAGGAGCTGGGGATGCTCAGCCCTTCTGAGAATCAGGCCACCAGCTTTTACTGTGCTGCAAGTCAGCCAGGTTAGCGAGTGTGTGTCTGTGCTATAGTCCCAGCTCTGCCAGTGCTGTTTTGTGTGGTCTGGGGCAAGTCATCCAGCCTCCCTTGGTTTCCCCATCTGTACTATAAGAATGCTAATGATCACTCTCATGGACCCAGAGGGACAGCTTTCCATCTTCAGCTCCCTCTGTACAAAAATGAAGTTTATTTCCTACCTATGGGGACTTTTTACCATCTTGTACCATCTATACTTTTCCCAGAGCCTGACAAAGGGATTTTGATCCCGAAAGCTTGCAGAAAAGGACAATTTTCTTGCAATTTCCCAGTTGGTCTAATAAAAGGTATCATTTTGGAACCAAGAGTTGTAGTTTTTTGTATGTCTCTAATGATCACTCTAGCATTGGGAAAAGGTGCTTCAAGCATGTAAACTATTCTGGAACTGCTAAATGTTATTACTGACATCCAGGTGTCCTATGAATTCTGCTAGAAGCCAAGGAGCACCCCCTGCTTACTCTGCTTACTCCTTTGTTCACTCCTCCCTTTCTCAGCCTTGGCCCTGTGGAGCTTGTTATCATGCTCTTCCCCTTTGCCCCTTGCTGAATGTGGGCTCCATCGCTATTGCATGTAGTGTTAGTCCCTGGCAATTACGTAATGACTGGGTGAGGGCAGCAATGCAGCCTTCAGAGGACCCTCATTAACGGTTTTACACAGGAGGCCTGTGGAAATCCAACCACCAACAGATCTGCAGTGGCTTTCAGTCTGCATTGTCAGCCAGGTTATTGTGAGCCTCTTCCCTCTTCTTTTCTGCCAGCTGAGCCAGACATTTATGCAGGAGCTAGCATGTGCTAGCAAAGCAGCACTGGCTTTGGGGGAAGTATTCCTCCATCTCTAAGGAGTCTGTGATCTGAAACAAAGACTGATCATCAACCAAGAAGAAACCCCTACCAGCCCCATCTGCATCTCACCCAGTCCTGTCCACGTACAGCAGAGCACAATGAGCTAAGGGCACTGACTACCTAGGATGAGACATTCTCAGAAGCTGGAAACCAGACTAAACAGCCTCTGGATTGGATCCAGTATGGCTCATACTGTACTCCTATGCAACTTGCAAAGAAGTAAATATTGTCCAGGACCTTTTGGGGTTTTGTTTTGTTTTGTTTTGTTTATTTGTTTATTTGTTTGTTTGTTTTGCTGGTTTCTGAAGTAATGATTGGGTAGTTGATGCTCTGCTTGTACGTTTACACTTCAACTTCAAGTCATGTCTACCCTGCTTTTCTTGGGAGACACTACAGACTACTGGAGAATTAGCAGCATTATGATCTGGGCAGACCAATAAAGTGAAAACTGGGCGGTTGAGAGGCTTACGCTGTTAAAAGTCCTGATTCCATTTGATTTGTAACAGAATTAACAGAAACACCTGAGAAACAGTTGGGAGAAATGGTCTGTCTGCGAAAGATTCAAGATACCCACCTTCAAATGAAAAGTTAAGACAGCTTCGTTCCCTTTTCCTTCCAAGAGACTGGCAGAGGCAAGACTATATTCCCAAAGTTTCTGAGAATACAGTAGAAAACAGGTAATGAATACCCTGAAGGGCAGGGCAAAACATTTTTTCTACCTCTTTATATATCATAAAGTTTTAAAGAGGGGAATCATTCCCTGTCCTCTCTCTTTTTCACCTTTAATGTCCCTGACCTCAGCATTTGTAACTCATCAGACTAGTCTATTTTCCTCTGTGACGTTTGCCCCTGTAGGTTTTGCAGCAGGAATTCATTCAGGAGCTCATGTTAGATCCTGCTGAAATGTTTTTGTGGTTGCTAGCATCAGGACAGTGGAAGGTGATACAAGAAGGGCAGCTGTATAGGTCACGGGGGTCTGCGTGTACCCTGAAATTATAGTTGATTCCATGAGATGCAGGAGGATCAAAACCTGCATCCTTGTTCCTCATCTGTTTTTATGGAATGAGGAGGAGATTTACTGAGCTGAAATGCCTCCTACCTTCTCCCCGGGATAACATGACTGATAGAGGGGAGGTGTCATCCATGGACCATTCTCTGCTGTGCTGCCTCAATGTGGCCGGTGCTCCACACAGTGGTGTTGTCCTGCTCTTACATTATCATATTCTTTTTCTCTGAAATAGCTCTTTTGCTTTGTTTTGTTTTTAGGAATTTACCTAAAGAAAAATGACACAGAGACTCTTTGCAAAACTAGATGCTCTGGAGCAATCTTCACGTGAGAGCTTGGCCAAGTATGCCAGAATTGAAGTGAGTATAGTGTAAATCAGTACTGAATTAGGGATAAATGTGCCCTTTGTCAGCTTTGAAAGATATATTCCTCCCTCGTGTCATGTCTGTGCCTAGACAGGACGGCGACTGGCACCATGTAATAAATAGCTACAGCAGAGGGATGAAGAGGAGGGGGAAAGAGAAACTCATTTTTTGTCTGATTGTTTTGGGGACTCCAGCCAGTGAAGCAAGGAGGTCACCTGGCACTTGAGAAAAGATCAAAAATAGAAGTCAGTGGAGCTGCTTAACACAGAGCACCAATAAACATGTTTACCACCAATTGTCACATCTTGCAGAAAGCCTCCCCACTACACCTCTTGCTAGATTGTCCGTCTTTAGACGGTGAAAGTCCTGGGTTGCCAGAGGCCTAGAAAAACAAATTCTTTGGGAAACCTTTGGTGGCAAATGCTGAGGTAACACATACAACAGTCATGTTTGTCTAAGACTTCATAGCAGCTGTGTTGCAGTGTGGTCAAGCTAAAAAGACCATTTGAAGAATGTTTCAACTTTCAGTAAGTGCTTATGTAGAAACAACACTTTTTTTCCTCTGGCGGTTTGCTTCTTGTGCGCATCTTCAAATAAAAAATTATAAAATATACACTAGCAAATATAAGTTCTAACGATTTCTGACTGATGCTGGTTGTAAGTTCAGATGCAGGAAGAGAGATTATGATTCGCAGCCTTAACGTTGCTTCACATAATAGAAACAAGCTGACTGCCCTCCTGCTCAATTAAGGCTCCATGTACTTCTGATCTGTTGCAGTGTCGAGGGCTTGGGAAATTACAGTTAAAGCCATATGTGTCAACTCCATTGACATTTGAATTTAAGGAGGATTATGAATTACCCAGTGCTAGAAGATCAGTTGTTTCTGGTCCCAAACCTTCCCCGCAGCTTGCAGAAGATGAACAGATCTTCACTCATCTGAAAACAAGGTGAACCTGAACTGGAAAGTTTATGTTTTATTTTTAGCTTGGCTTAAAGGTACTTTAGATATGGTAAATGTACTATTAATAACTGATCTTACACTCATTTCATTCTCCATGCAGTTAAGCTAAGTCCTTAAAATTATCTTGTTCGCATAATTTACACCAATCGTATAGTTAAAATGGATATTACTATAGATATTATTGTTAAGAAAAACCTTGCAATCAGGGGATTTTTTATGTTGCATGTCCTGTGCAGTGAAATGATCCATCACTATAAAACACAATGCAAACAGTAACTTATATTTAGGGATTTACCTAAATCTTGGGGAGACTTACCAGTTTTCACAGGTTGATCATGGTCTAAAGCTCTAATTCCCTGGTGATTTCACAGCAGCTCCACCCCTTGGCTCTGATTGGCACAGGCCCTGCCCCTTGGCACTGATAGGTGGAGAGGCCCCAGGATGGAGGAGGGACAAAGGGGCAGCCCCCATCTTGACTGCTGGCTACCTTTTGTGCAGCCTACCCCTTGCAACTGATTGGTGGAGAGGCCCTGGCAAAGGGAGGAGCAATGAGGGGGTAGCCATCATCTTGTCTGCTGACCTTTGTGCTGCCCCCCTAGCTGGCACCTTTCCCTCCTGGCAGCAAAGACCACCAGCATTTTATTTTTATTAAGTTTTTTTTTGTTGATTTCACGGATGTTGTGACAATCCCAGATTTTGTGGTGTCGGCACAATCCACAAAACCACAAATTAAGTAGGTCCCTACTTATATTACCTGAAAACTGGCTGCAGAACATGTAAGTATTTTTTTAACCCTAAAAGGAAGCCTTGAAAAAGTCAGACAGGTTGTTTTCCGTGTAAGTGTGAGATTTCCAAGTGATCAGAGATCTAGGGATTTATGACTTTATGACAATATGCCATAGATGTGGTGGTGGGTGGGGAGATCATACAGAAACAGGGACCTACCCCTGTAACTTGGCAGAGATACATCATGTGTACTATTTTCAAACTGAACGTGCCAGAGCTTGGCGGCGTCATGTGCCCCTGAAACACTGTTACTGCCACAGAAATTTTTTAAGGAAAAAAATTACTTTTGTCCCAATTGTAAGTCCCTTTCACAGATGTCCATTTAATGGAAAGGCTCCTCCAGATTACGGGCTCGTTTCTGAGCAGGTACTCCATCTGGAGATTGCACATTTTAGGGGGAAACTCCACAGCAAGGCTGTGTCAGCCTGTCAGCCAGATATTTCTAGGAGCAATTCTGGGAGACTAGGACCCGTTATTGAGAAGTACTGAGCCCCTGTTACCTTCAGTCCAAGTTTAAATGGTCAGCATTTTCCAGGACCCACCCCTTAATGAGCACCTACAGCATTAAGATATAGGCAGCCATCTAACATTTTTGTCATAGAGCTATCATTCAGATGCTAAAATTCACTATTACAGTTATCTTTCATCACTTCGGGACACACATTTGCAAAATATTGCTGTATACTTCTGTTCTTTTGCAACATTTGCCTAGAAGTGCTGCCTACTTTGGTTAGTTTTTCCAACCCATTTCACATTTTCTGATCAGTTGTTGATTCTGAATTTTGTATCAGATATAGAGCTTTGATATGTTTAGCACTTGCAGGTCTGAATCGCCCAGACTGATGATTAGGAAGAACCATAGTGGCAAATCGGCTATCCGGCCATTTAGTGCTCCAGACAATCTGCAAGCCAAAGCCTGCTATCAGCAAGGTACTTCTTTATAAAACATTGTGCAATCTCTCAAGTCTGTCCTAGAAGCTGTTTAGTTTATTTACAATCTTAATAAAACACTGTGGGTGAAGTCTTGCTGTCTCATTTTATTAAGCATAATGTTAGCACTATTAATGCTAAGCAATATTCTAATTACAAAAAGGGATGCTTTAGCTCTCGATATCAAAATGCACTTTTTTTCAATGATTTAGGTAAACTGAAAACTGCTTGTGAGAAACTGCTTGTCTGCATGCCTTGTGCATGCAATGTCTGTATAATCCTTTGTATCTGCACCTACTAGTCATCCAAAGTATTGTACAAATGAAGAATTTATGCTCAAGGAAAATCTTCAGCTCTGTTATGGTTGAACCAGTATGTTGCAACTAGGAAACCACAAATATTCCAGCTGCGTTGGCTCAGCTGGTCACCCTAACATATCTCACAATACAGTGCTTGTGTTAGGAAATCTCCCAAGACCCTCTGCTCCCAGAGACAGTGCTGGGCATTATAAGAAAGGTGTTTTCCAGGAGCCTCAGAACAGACTTGTACAACCACAGATGAAGGGAGTGCTGTGTGTGCATGGGCCAGAGCGGTTCTCTGAAGAACAGTGCTCCAGTGTAAACACGTTAAATCACTGCTTAGGCATGCAAGGCAATGAACCATTTCATGCAGTCACTGTTCTTGCTACAGGCTCTTGTTTACTGTTAATGCATAGTTTAATGGTTAATCTCTATTGTAATAGATTAATCTAAAATACACTTCTGTTTAGATACTCCTTCAAATTATTCCTACTTTGTTTTGTATTCTTTTCCATAGATGACCTACACACTTTAAAGGAAGGTTTTATTACTTTAAAGCTAAGCCAAAAAGTAAAACCTGTTAGTTTTAGAGCAAAAGTTCACAGAAGACCAAAATGGAAGACAGAGGTAGGTCCTGTTCTCAGCCTACCCCAAAACTGAAGCTAATTCACTTCATAGCTGTCCTACCTCTAACCAAAGTTGCATGTGATTTTAATCATATCCCAGCTTCCACTAGGTTTGGCTCTCATAATGTTTCAGGAGGATATAAAAGGAGGTGGTCTCTCTTTTCATGCACATTTCTTTTCTGGTTGTACTGTGGATACCCATGGACAGTAGGCATGGTGGCTTTGGGCACATCCAAAATGTTTGTTAATTCTTTTCTCTGCCTAAAATATGGTACAGCAGTTCTAGATTTTGAGGTATCTGAGCAGCCTTTAGTGTATGGCACTATGTCCCTTTTACAATACTAAAATAGTTTGGTGTGTAACTTACCATGATAAACTTAACTGCTTTTCAAGTAAACAGAAAAATAAAATTACTACCAAATGGGACCCTTTTTTTCAGTTAAGCTTGAAGCATGTGCCTTAACTTGCAATTGTAACTCAGGAAAATGGTCCCTCCTTAAATTTACTTTGGTGGGTTAGAGCTTGCCACAAATAAATGTGAACATGTGGCTACAGGGCTCCTGATAAAGGCACTCCTGGAATAGCTACTTCTCAGGTATGTAAGCTACACTGATGCAAGAAGAAACATTTACAGCACAAGTGAAAAGCAGTCAGCCATACCAGTAGAACGAAGCAGAAAACCAGCCTCCTACTCTACACTGAGAAATAGTCTTACTATAAACAATTAGCTTTGTTTTGTTGCTAGAAATAATTACAACCTCTTAGGGTTAATTACAGATTTTTTTTCCTTCTCTATTGAGCCATAATCACCAGTGCCTGGTTTCAGAGCTCTAGGTATAGTCAAGATTTCCATTCAGGGTAACGGCCAAATTCTAACCTCAGATATGCATCAACATGTATTTATAAAAACTATGATAGCCTTTGGCTAACAATTACAATATGGGGCATTGAAGGTGTCTAAACTACCACATCTTATTTAAATAGGAAGTAACAGTGGTAACCATATAATATCTATTGTAAATTGCTGATTTAGACATCTATCTCTGTTTTATGTTTTAGTAAACAAGCAGTATGTGGGGATAGATTTGAGATGTCTGCAGTGTTTATTTACATTTGTTTCTAAATATATGGAGTCTATAAAAATATACAGCTAAATCTGCATCTTGTGCATACTTGTTTTTCATTTTACATTCGTGAGTCATATTCTAAGGTCATGAGCATGGTATTACTACTTGGATGACAATCTGGAAGGGCATTAACTATGCTTCTATTTACAACTCAAGTGCCCGAGTTCTTTCATTTTAACACAGATGCTACACTTGTTTTCTTTACTGACTTTTTAGCTTTTGCTAAAGGCAAAGAACACACAAAATTTCTGACACACTATTTACTATGACAATGTTTAAAAAGGTTCCTGTTATATATTACATTATATTTTTGGTACTTTTAGTACTGGTGGGTCACAGCAAATAGATCAGTTTCCAGTATTTCCTGTATTTTCTGACAGGTTGAAAGGGTTCAGAAGTTGGAAGTCCTCTGTCAGCAAGAAAATCAAGCCCATTTAGCATCTGCCCTTGATCACAAAGACACTTCTCACTGGTGCTCTTCTAGGAGTGCCACTAGTCAGAATGAGGAGACACTTGTACCAGCTACAACAGGTAAGAACTGGAACTCCTTTGGTAGCTATGGTTTAGGAAAATACACTAAGGCCTGTCAGTAGTGTTACGATGCTTTAAAGAGACAGAATAAAAGTTTTTCTTTGCAACAGATGGGTAGAATAACACAATGGTAGAGTAAATGTACAAATGTTTATAGGTTTCCTTTGCATATAGTCTATTCTTACTTACATTTTCCTTTGATTATATAACTGCGACTACCAATTTGTTCAATTGCTTACATTAATTCTGAGATTAAAATTCCTTATGAAGGTTCCATTGTAAAATATGCACTCGTGGACCGCGTCCACATGAGCGTGGATATCTGTTTCCCTGGGGACAAGCAGTGGCACACCTTGTGCCACTGCTGCTTGTCCCTGGGGATGCCTGTGCCACATGCCCTCTGGCGCATGGCAGGTTACCCTGGGTGCGGTAGGGTAGGCAGGAGCCAGAACTGGGTTGGCCCCAGCAGCTTTACCTGAGGTCCTGGGGGCCTCCTGGACCTCCAGCTGGCCAGGCTCCAGTTTTGGGTGGTGGCATGCACTGCACCCATGTGCGCCGCTCCACTTTTTTTGTGTGGGGGAGATCCCAGGGTCAAAAAAACCTGCCACACTGCTACCTTACAGCATGAACACCTAAATGTATGGTATGTGGCACAGAAGACGTGTCTGTGGCACCACATACTGCATGGCTGCTCTCGTCTGGATGCAGCCACGGGGTGCAAACCCACAACCACACGTGTGGTTTGTGGTGCTTCAAACCCGAGCAGAGGGGGCAGCGAGCATGGCCAGATACCATCCCCCGGCCGGCACACTGAAGCTGAGGGGAGGGAGGAGGGTTTAAACCCTCTCTCCTGACTGCATGGGACCCCAGCAAGGTGTTGGTGCACCCCTGCCAGACAGCCCCTGGCTGGGGTCCTGTGCAGGCAGGAGAGGGGGTTTAAACT